GGGGGGCAATAGACACTCCTCAGGGAGTCACGGGGATGACACCGCGCATAGGGCTGTCACAGGGAATTACCACCGCTCCTCGAAATGTCACGGGTATGGCACAGCGTCCATGACCGTCACGGGGATGACACCACGCCCAACACGGTCACGGGGATGATCATCACTCTTCGAGGGTCACGGGGATGGGGATGACACCGCGCACAGGCCCAGGATCGTCATAGGGATGGCCACCGCGCACAGGACCGTCACTAGGATGACACAGCGCCCAAGGCCATCACGAGGATGACTACCGCGCTTTGGACGGTCACGGGGATGACACTAAGTCACCGACCTTCACGGGGATGACAACGCCGCCAGGTCCGACGTATTCTGCGTTTTTGCTCCTTTATCTCTGCGTGCAGGCAAGATATCGTCGTTTCTATCACACTATGAGTTAATTTTGGACAAGTTCTTTCGAACGAGCTTGTCGAGCGTTTTTCTTTGATTACTCCTAAAGCAATAGGATATTTGGCATTTTGACTGCACCTTTGTCTTTCCCTCGAAAAAACCTTTCAAACGGAGTGCCATAAAAAATAAAATTCTTTGGAACATGGGATAGGCACACAAGGGCTAAAATGCATTAAGAGACGGAATGTTTTCAATTTTTACATTCACAAAATGTTAGTTGCTGCTTCCCTGTTGACAGCTCTAAGTCCTCGATTTAGACTTACCCCATAGCTTGAAAGGCCAAATTGCAGGCCAAAACTGTCTCTTTGGACGGATCCATTTTCTTGAGAGTGGCTGCCAATATGGGATGCTTTGTGTCAGAGATCAGTCCACGCACCTTTACGAAGGATATCATTAATTTTACATTCGGTACTTCGCAGAAGTAGGGGTAATGCTTCACAAGCAGCTCTGCAACGTCCACTTTTCCTAAAGCAAGGGCCCTAGAGACAGTATCTAGCCGATTGTGCACGGAGGTCGGCACTGCGCCGTGCTTGAGCAGGAGCAAGACCGCCCTCGTGGAATCTTGGTTTAAACTTAATGCTGCTTCTAATATGTCGCTTCCACATTCGTCCACGGCATTCACATCTGCCCCGTGACTGATCAGTAGCTCCATCATGTCCATGCGGTTTTGCACAGCAGCAAGACGGAGAGGCTGTCCACGTAGAGCAAGAGTGAAAGGAGTGGCTGCTGGACCTCTACCGGCCGCTTCTTCATCGCCAGCTTCTTGAACTCCACCCACCCGTTCACTACCACTAGCTGCTTGACCTCCACCCGCTGCCTTTTTTCTATCCACAGCTTGACCTCCGCCCGGCGCTTCTTTTCCACACACTGCCTGAACTCCACCCGACGCTTCAGTCCCGCCCGCTTCTTCATCTCCAGGTGCTTTCGTCAACTCCGACTTGGCCTCGCGGCATTTTGACTCCCATTTCAGCAGGATCTTCAGCGTGTGCAGAGAGGCAGATTTAATCGCGTGGATGGCAGCCGTCCGGCCTGTGCAATCCTCTTTCAGCACGTCAGCGCCACGGTGGCTGAGGAGCACTTCCAAAGCCTCGCCATAGCCGCGTGCTGCGTAGTGCATCGCCGTCTCTGAGTTGTTGTCGGTGGTGTTCAGCAGATCCGCGACAGCTTCACGTACATAGACAGTAGAGCAAGGTAAGCAACCACACATTAAGGTGGAGTAAAAATCTGGGATCAAAAAGATACACCTGGAACAAAGCACTTTCAGATATCCTAAGATTAGCGGCAGAGTCCATTCAGACCCATCGGCTGACCTTTCACCCCTCCCGAGCGGTCAAAGATGTGTCTGTTAGGGAAATTGATACTCCCCCTCCCACTCCCGGAAACGGCTACATGCGGTTCAGTGCGGAATTTATGTAAGAAGATACCTCAGGACTCTATCGCTGTGCGATACAGTCATGAGCCCTAATTTCAGACAAAGTTAGTTGTTTTCCGGCTGTTTCGTGCGCACCTGATAGAGTAAGCAAAAACCCATTGTTGTGGATTCGACCAGGAATCGATAAAAATACAACAGAATGGTAGATGGTTTAAATTTGATAGACCAGCAACAATTGTCTGACTATGGAAAAGCCATCACTTTTCGATTTTCGTTATCGTCACAATAATTGGACGATGGATAAAAATCACGCTATGTGCGACTGTTTTGTGTTACTAGGGTTGAACATGACAAAAGACTGTAACGGGGCAACACCGTGACTAACTACACCCCACCCTTCTGCTTTGCTTAAGAATTTTTTTTTTAAATTGAAGTAACGCAGTTTTTAGCTTGTATTGTTCGTCCGTCAATCAGTCTTAAAACTTGACTTTTTGTCATTGTTTTAAATGTATCAACCCCTAGGTCCGTTACAGTGAAAGCGACACGGCACATCCGAAGGTAGTTCCTGGTTCAGATGTGTGTTTTTTTGGGTTTTTTTCTTCTGAGGGGGGGGGGGGGTCTCTTTCTCTGACACATGACGATTGGACGCCTGCTTGTACGTCTTAAGGTGCAATGTGGTCATTTTTATCGTATTTTCGTCGAAAAAACACTTAAGCGTGCAAGATGAAGTCAAACGGAGAAAATTTTAGGTCAAAGGCTTCTACTTTTAGGGGTCGTCCACAT